GAGGGTGAATATTTTTCCGAGATTCCCGAATTAATAGTTTACCCGCAAAAACTTTCACTAGCCCGTAGGTAATAGCCGAGAGCGCGGGAACGCTGAATTTGAATGGGCAAGGTTGAGCGTGGGCAGGGCGTAATTACCCTAAAATTTCAGCTCCCTAGACCCCGTGGTTCCCGAGATAATAATTTACCCGTAAAAACTTCCACCAGCCCATAGTTGGTACCCGAGAGCGCGGGGACGCTGAATTTGAATGGGCAAGGTTGAGCGTGGGCAGGGCGTAATTACCCTAAAATTTCAGCTCCCTAGACCCCGTGGTTCCCGAGATAATAATTTACCCGTAAAAATTTCCACTAGCCCATAGTTGGTACCCGAGAGCGCGGGGACGCTGATTTTGGATGGGCAAGGTTGAGCATGGGCAGGGCGTAATTACCCCAAAATTTCAGCTCCCTAGACCCCGTGGTTCCCGAGATAATAATTTGCCCGTAAAAACTTTCACTAGCCCATAGTTGGTACCCGAGAGCGCGGGGACGCTGAATTTCAATGGGCAAGGTTGAGCGTGGGCAGGGGAAAATTTCAGCCTCCCAGACTCCGTGGTTCTCGAGATATTAATTTACCCGTAAAAAACTTTCGCGGGGCCGTACGTGTTACCTGCGGGTACGGGAAGGCTGAATTTGAATGGGCAAGGTTGAGCGCGGGCAGGGGGGTCATTACCCTAGAATTTTCAGCTTCCTAGCTTTTGTGATCCCCAAATTGAAAGATGCGGACAAGTTGCTGCGGACACATACACACAAACACACATAGACAACCCCGTGACAATATACGTTTTGTACTGATGTTACACAGCACAAAACGCATAACAAAGTGAAATTACCTCATCCAGTAAACGTCAGAGTTGAATATTGTCAAATTTCCCACACAAAAATGTGATGAAAAATTCTCACAGGCTTTCTCATCCATCGTTCAGATGAAACGACAAAACACAAAAACATTAACAATTTATCATT